CTTTTATTGGATTAACTTCTGTTGGGGGGGTGGGAGAGAAAGAGAGAGAGACAGACACTTCTGAGCTACACCAACCTGAAGAACTCTGGGTAGCTCAAAAACTTGTCTCGTCTCACCAACAGAAGTTGGTCCAATAAAAGATACTGCCTCACCCACTTGGTCTAAAATCCCGGGACCAACATGGCTGTTTGTAAAACAGACTCATATCTGACCTGCGAATAAGGAAGCATGCTATTTGTTCACTGTTTTCATCAATAGATCTGTGCAGAAGTGTCTGTAAGCATCCACCTGGTCCTGGACCCCAGCAAGTTGCATCACAGCCATGTCTTACCTGAATTAAGAATGAAGCACAATTAGCTAAGATGCCTGCATCTCAGTTATACATCCACTTGGCTATTTTTTATTTTTAAAAGAGCAGCAATGAAACACCTCCCTTCCACCATGATGGTAACACTGCAATTTAGGGGTTTTTTTTTTATTTCTTTTTATTCCTTCAGTAGTTCTTGGCTTTTGTAATATATTCCCCTTGTGAAAAGGTAGATTAGTCTCTAGTCCTGTGAAATATTTTTATGAGATTGCAATAAGGGGAACAAGTTCCAAATGTGTTTGGAACCAGATTGGTCATTCATTCAGTAAGTGCAAGGTGGTTTGTAGCTCCAGCTCATCAGATCCATGGTAACTCTCACCACACACAGCAGTAAGTGGGAGAACCAGTACATCCAATACCACTTCCTATAACCCTGTTCACAGGGGAAAATCCATTGTACATCAAACTTTAGCCATGCTTAATGAAAAGGGACCTAGAGCAGGACGAGGAACCAAATGTAAGTTGCATTCTTCTAGGCAAGAATGGAATAATTAATTCAATTAAAAATCGTTCAGAATTATAAATAGGACGTTGCCAGAGGACCCTCATTCTTTACAGAATTAAGACATCACCCTGCCCCAACTCTTTCATGCATGTAGAAAGTAAAGTAATCTACAACTGTCTGAACTTAAATTGCTATATCAAACCCCATTTGTTTGCCAACAAGATGTTCTGGAAATTTTCTGGAACAGAAAAAAAAAAAACACCTTGAAGCCAGAGTTTCAAAGGAGCTTAAAAAAATAAAAGACGGGGGGAAGCTGGCCAGCCAGTTCTCTCCGAGGTATTTTGAGATATATTAACTGTTCATAAGCTTTCACTAAGAAGCAAGAAAGCCTTTTTAACACCACAGGAACATACCTAAGCTAAAATTAAAGTAAGCTCACTGCAATAATGTAGCCTTGCTATGAATAATGTAGTTGCACTTCCTTTTGTTAAGGGGTTAATAACTTTGGCTATAAATATTGCTTCAAGTTGGAGTTTGACGTGTGAGGTAATTTTTAAATTAAATGGCTATTATGATTTATTACAAGTGAGCTGCTTGCTAAGTAGTATCTGTAGCAAAAGTGATCAAGTTATGCAACTACAAAGGTGTCTAAAGAATAGTTATGGCAATTGAGACAACTTGGAGACATTGCTATTTAACAACTGGCTGCACAAAAACCTCACAGAACATTTACCTAACTTCACACACAGCCAGCAACAAGACTGGCATAAAAACTGGTCCAAAGTTCCCCATCATATTATTGGGTCAGTAATCAGAGTAACAAATTGACTTACAGAAATAATTCTAACAAAGCTGCAGTCGAATATTCCTAATATAGCCTCAAATTCCATGCACACTTAGGGCACTGTTTTCCCCCAAGAAAATAAAAAACAGGACTAATTAAATTTCAGTGACCAAGTAAATACTATTTTACCATGCATTTTAGATAAATATGTACTTGGAATCTTGCTCTGCTATGCAACCATGAACACAAGAATCAATGCTTAAATTTCAGAAAGTCACATCTCCCATAATCTGAAGGAGGCGGATAGAAAATTTTAAAAAGGAGTACAGTTTAAATTTTCAAATGTAGGGACCTAAAAAGTGACTTTACTTTCCCAATAGAGTGAGCACCCCCAACTTTAAGGGAAGCTAATGAGTTGGAGGTGTCAATACCTTTGATGGTCAGACCACTTACATCAAAGTTTTGAAAATTTTACCTTTCCAGTTTTGACCCATATATTTATGGTTATACATTTTACCTTCACATGCTGGAACCCTTAGAACAAGCTTTTAGATCCTTCCAGATAAGCTGCATTGGATTTTAGTAGTGCTATACTACAGATATATTAACTAATACTCACTGCCATTTCATCATATGCCTTATGTTTAGGTCATTCTCTACGTTAATAGCCAAGTATTTACTTATTTGAAAGTTAGTCTTCCCATCTTAATATAGTATGTATTGGTCCCACACAAAAATCCTAGGCTTAAAAAGAAGCATCCTTATGGAGAACAGTTATGAAGCCAAAATTTCTCAACTTGTCAGCTTTTTTAAAAAAACCTCTGATTTAGAGTTACTACAGTTTCGCCCCCCCCCCCCTTTCTATTTACAGGTCCCTTGCGGAAGTAACCACTGAAATACCCTCATGTCTCCAACAAAGAGGACCCAATAGTAGTAAGAGCATTGCTGGATCACCTAATGGCTGCATGAGATCTTGTCTGAAAAAAATCAAGTTGAAGCCTGTAAGCTTTATAAAAACACCAAACTCAGCAGTAAGAGTTACATGAGGGTACATATAAGCTTTAGTGTACCTTTACAGACTAGATCCCATACAGAAAGATGAGCATGTAGTCCAGCAAATACTTAATTCCTGCTGCAATACTATATTTTTGTTGGTTCTTGACATTTTCCAACAAGTTCTCAAGGAACCTAAAAAAAAAAAAACACCTACGGAGGGTAAAGGATGATATAGATTCAAGAGTCATGAAAGTTTAAGAACTGCACTGGGAAGTGTGTGCTGGCAGGGAGCATTTAAGTTTTGACTAGAAAAAAAACCACAAGAGTTTAAAGAAGTCTTCCAAAAAAGTTTAAAAGCCCACTTTGGATATGGTAGACTGGTACTAGATTTGACAATGCTACAGAAGCCCATGTTGCTATTGATGCCTACATCATAAGCGTACTAGAAATTAATTTGGCTTCTCAATAGCATTTGATTACTAGTGAACCACATAATCTGACAAACACTGTAAAAAATTTAAGGGTACAGTGAAAATGCTAGTCTTACCAGAGTCGATGCAATATCTTCCAAATTATTTTCCAGGGCAAGCCATAGTGGAGGATTCCCTTTCTCATCTGGCACAGACATGTCCGCCCCTCTGGTACAAATAGCATCAACCACAAGCGGAAGCTGGTTTTTTATAGCTAGCTGAAGGGCAGTCTCTCCATCCTGAGTTCTGTAATATGTACAGTTGCTGTATAAGGTCTATTGTTGTCACCTCATTAAAAACAGAGACCTTCTGTTGCAGTGATTTATTGGCAGACCAATCAGTATCAGCTCTTGATTCATATACTTGGGTTTTAAACTCCTTGGTTAGAAAAAGAGTGTCTAGTTTAAGACATGTTGGAAGGGCACGTCAACACATTTAGTCACTAGCCACAAGCTTAGTGTGTCTTTTCACTATTTTCCTCCAACAGTTATCACTGCCATAATGTTAAAGCTGCTGTATTAATGGACAGCATTAAGATGTGGTTCAGCATGTCTGTTTCTGGTACAATTAGGTAACATCTGTTGAAACCAAAGATGGCTTTTTAGGGCAGTTACTGCCAGGGAGGAGCATGAAATCATCCATAATGAACCACTACTTCAGAGCAAAGGTGAACTAGAGGCACTGGACTATGACAGGGAGGTTTGGCATTAGTCCAACGGTGTCACTCAGCCTATTGACTGGCTCCCACCAATGAGGGGTTATTACATTTAATTTTACGTTTCTAGCCATAATATTTGGAAGAATGCCTTCCAAGGATGAATCAAGTGTAAGCCAATGCTAAGCTATCTTCCTGAGTCTGCAGACATTAACAGCTCTAAAGACCCGAGGTGCTTCCATTCTCTTACTGGGGTGAGAATTTTGAAACCTATTGCTGAAAATTGGATTCTCAGATTTAAGGATGCACATGATTTTGTAAAGTTACTAGACCTGGGCACCTATAAAAAAAAACAAGTTTCAAAAGAGCAGATCTAGCATTGAAAGAATTTCATGTCACTCCCGCCCCATACCACTACGCTGAGTGATTCAGAATACAAACACCAATAGTAACTAATAAGTTGAGTTAACACTAGGGCCATGTTCTAACCTTTGATCTTTGGACAAGCCTCCCTTTGCTATCCGTTGGAAATCTGACATGGATAGAAGGTAGTATGTGTGTTACCAACTTTGTAGGTGGTCCATCAACCAGAATTAAAAACTAATTTTGGGACAAGTTATATAGCTCCCAATATCTTTGATTTGAGATCAAGAATTAGGCACTTTTTACTTGAGCTGTTCATTTAGAGGCAGTTAAGTCAACCACTTTTCCTATGTATTCTTCCAATTCAGAGCTACAGCAACAGATACACACACCACCACACACAAAAACAACCACACACTTACCTGACATTTATATCTGCTTGATGTTCCAGCAAGAAGAGAGCACTCTTGCTATCCTGTCTCTGTATTGCCATATGTAATAGAGTCTGTCCATCTGACATGGTGTCATTGATGGATGCACCAGACCCAAGTAGCTGAGCTGCTATGGTGTGCATGCCTGGAAAGTGACAACTTGTTAATATTTATCCCTACAGAAACCGAGTTACAATAAGGATCCTCTAAAGTTTTATTCATGAAGACATTACTATCAAAGCCTTTCCATTTTTAATATATTGAAAAAATTAACCTGAAACTTTCAAGTTGCTTCAAATTGAAGTAACGATCTTTAAATATATTTTGATATAAATCAATAGGTAAAACTCTCAGTCTCTACCTGTAAACCATCACTAGCTAATTTCAACATTAGTACAATTATCTTCACAAGTAGGTGAGGTGGTTAATTTTTCCACCAGCCACACTGCTAATGCCCCTGTTTAAGGTTGTTTGTCAGTCTTCAATGGAAAGTGGATTTAGTATTCATGAAGATTGGAACACTTGGAGCCAGGCATAGCCCAGTGGCTTCCAGCATAGCTCCGACAATACTTCTTTAGCTTGACCTTCATCACCATGGCTAGTCTAACGGTAGGCCTCTCCTGATCAGAGGGTGACAACTGCTGAACTGTAATGGATTTGTGTTGTGCATAAAAATGTAGCTAGAATGAGACCACTGTTTTTCCCCCCCTCTAACTGAAGACAGGATTTGAATTTGGCTAAAAAACAGGTTAGTGCACCAGCTTTACCTCTCACTGACATTTTGTCTTTGGCACTCATAGAATCCTAAGTGTCCATCACTATAGTATTTAGGTGCCTAACCTATTGTACTGCCATAGTTCCAGAACTGCACTTAAAAATGCCAAGCTAGAATAAAGATACATAGCCATAACAGATTTGATCACCCTTTTGTTTTTAAGATAATTAAACTGATCCAAAATAGGACACAATAATGCATAAATATCCCAGCTATTACATGGATCTCAAGTAGCTGTGTACCAAAATGTCTGACTGCAAGGAAAATTAAGCATACTGGCTTGTCTTTCATGAAGTTCAGATCTCACTTACACAGCCAGAAAGTGATCCTACAGTACACGGAGGCCACACAAACTAAGTGATGGCTAGATACACGTGTCAGAGCAAGGAGTTATGACTTGTCTGATTCATTTAAGTGGAAAGTAACTTTGGAGAAATAGGGAAGGGAACATATCCCCACCCCTAGATTGAGGAAACGGTAATTTTTCCTTTTACATGTAGAACACTATAGTCTTTCCATCTGCTGGCTCATTACTCTCAGTGTATGAAGCAATCCAAAAGACAAATCTGTCACAAAGTAGATACAAGGCTTTAAAAAGTGGCTAATAAAAAAAAAAAAAAAAAAAAACCACACACACCCACCACACACTTAACCCTAAGTGTTCTCTGAACTTTGCACCATGGAACTACAGTGAATTTCCATTAGTCCCCCTGATTAATTAAGATTTTATTTCCTCTAGTTTAACAAGGTTTCTAAAAAACCTGAAGGACACACTTTAAGTCTCTGAAGCCTGAGTTGGACAGTAATGTTACTGATTTTTCACCCAAATTTTGGGCCCCTCAAGTAAATGACCATACTTATTATTTTAAGAAAACCCAATAGGTTTATTCCCCTTAATAAATTAGGTTAGCGTAAGTGTAAATGCAAGGCTGTCAAATAAAAGGCAGTGTAGTGCAAGGTATCCATGCACGTGTACACATACTGTTAATGATCAGTTCAAGAATTAAACCGAGGCACTAAACTGCTTTTACTTTCAGCACTTGGTTCTCTATTAGTTTTTTCTGTCTTTTTGTCCCAATGTTAACCCTGATATTTACTCAGGGAACTGAAATGTTTTGAACCTTTTTTACCCACTTTTAATTTTAAACAAAAACACAAAGGGCCTTAACTATACAGTAGTTCCATAAACAGAAAAAAAAAGGGTCAATATTGTTTCCCTCCTGACTTGTGTGTAGGATTCACAATAAGTCTTTCACAACTATTTTCCCTACACAGACTAAGAATTTATAAACCCTTACCGGTCCATAATGCTAGTCCCAATACGGTCTGGTCTCTGGAGTCCTTGAGACTGAAGTCAGGAATGATTTGCAAGTTGTTGGTAGCATGAAGGGCATTAGCTGAAAGACAATGCCATAGAATTTTAACCAAATGTTAAACAAGTGTTCCTGTATTTCTAACCATCAATGTTAGCTTGAAACTGTGATCTCAAAACCTGTTTGTTATACTTGGATTTCAATTGACCCAAATGACCATGTCACTTTTTGGAAGCGTTACAAAAATTTTCCCCACGTTACGTAGCTCTTAGGATGTTTAAGGGAAGTTTGTTGGCACTGCTCAACGCTAGACAGCCTTCACCCATAATGTTAAAAAAAAATTATATTATTTATTCATATATTTATTTTTTTATATTCACACACACACACACACACACTATGATGTCAATAACTTTCCAGGATTTTAATCAAGTCCTGCCTCCCAAGGAAGAGCAGAAATATCCATCCACTGTCCTTATGTCTAGATGTCTAATTGCAGCAAATACATGATAAGTGGTTACAAAGATCCCAGGCTTGAGTCCTGCCATCCACCTGAACTGAATATTTTTTCCTTCGTGACAAGAGTTTACAATTTTCTATTGTCAGTCCGAAACACAGGGCTAGAAAGAAACTGAAGGAGTTAGTATTTGTGTGGGTGTCTTGCGCCTCCCCCATTCTAAGTCCAGCCTCCAAGACTACAGATCTATACTGGCACTGCCTTTACACATCAGGGGAGTAGATTAAATTATGGAAGAATGCAGAACTAGAAAATGTTCCAGAGTCTCAGCTTGTGCTAAACAAGCAACTGAGAAGTTACTCTTGGAAAACAGTAAAGCTAAATTTAACTCAGCCTACAGGGAGACAGATAAGACTCATACAATACATAGCTTGCCATGGTATGAAAGTTGTGTAATCACACCATCCAGTAGTAGTGATACAGCTTGAACAAAAGCCTACCTTTTTGCTCCAGTATGACTGATACCACATCAGGGTGGTTATATGCTATAGCCATATGAAGGGGAGTTTGCAGATACACATTCTCTGATGCAGGTGGTGAGGATGCATCCTTCTGACTAGGCACTGCTTCTTCAGTCTGGATATTAGGATTGGCTCCTTGTTGCAGAAGCTCTGCTGTAAGGTTTGATAGGCCATGCCGACAAGATGTATGCAATGGAGTTTCTCCCTTTAACAGAAATTAAAAGTTTAGGTGTTCCGAAAACAGCTAAAAACAGGAAGCCCCCCCCAATTAGAGTGGTGTATAGCAGCCTCCAAGACTGTTTTTGTTTATTGTGTACTAGTAAACACCATGCTCAACTAGCCTATTTTTAACTGAATTTCAGCATCAGCATTTCTAAACATGGACTGATGACAGGCATCATTGGGAGAGAAGTGTTAACACATCACTGCAGGATGTAATGCCACGGGAACAGAGTACAATTGTCTGTTCACCATAATATGGTCATCACCACTCTAGCATTAGAGATTTTCATCAATGGGCGGGGGGGAAAAAGCGTTTGGTGGGGTTAGTTACACCTGGATTCTGTTTATTGCAATATAAAACAACCCTAACTTCTTACCCATTTGTTTCTATGGTTCACTTTTGCCCCATGGGTTGCCAGGAAGAGAGCAGCTGCCTCATTTCCTGCTCCAGCTGCTCTCTGCAATAAGCAATTTCCTAAAAGGTAATATGAAAATGCATGCAGAGTTAAAGTACTATCCACTGATTTAAAGTTATAATTTGAAACATCTAGTATGCTTCCCCCAAGAGATTTAGAACTCGAAAGATCAGTAGCAGAGATGCTGCTTATTGAATGATAGGCATGTCTGATCAGCCCCTTCAACATTACATTTCTGTTTCCAAGCTGTCACCACAGAATAAGCCACACATTTTGGAAAGGAAGGGAGGACAACTCCAGGACTTGAACAGCATGGAATATTCCTGACTTCACAGAAAGTCTCAGGATTTTCCACCCATTCTATAAGCCTCCCCCACCCCCCGTGACAGCATCTGTAATTCTCATCAGGGAGAGTATACATAAAATTTTGAAAGGAGTTCATTTAGCCATTTATGTTTTGAGTTATTTCAGCTTACATGTGCAGCTATGAGTCAGAGTGCTAGACAATATATAATAAGGTTCAGAGTCATTAGAGGATAGACTTGGAAGGCACAGTGATTTTGGACCAATTCTATCCTATTAAGGTAACAAAAATAGGGCCAGTGGCAGTTCAGACCTCTGTAGAACAAAACAAAACCAAAACCAAAAACCATCACCCACCTTACTTTGAAGCAAGATGACAAATTCATGGAGGCTAGGTCCATCAATGGCTATTAGCCAGGAATGGTGTCCCTAGCCTCTGGTTTGCCAGAAACTGGGAATGAGCAACAGGATGAATCACTTGATGATCACCCGTTCTGTTCATTCCCTCTGGGGCACCTGGCACTAGCCACTGTCGGAAGACAGGATGGACCTTTGGTCTGACCCAGTGGGGTCATTCTTATGTTCTTATTAAATGGAACTTTTATGCCAATTTCTGCATTTGTGACCTTGTCATGCAAACCTTTTGCCTAAATATGAATACAAACCTCTGTTTTACCTGTTACTGTGTCAGGTGCATCTGTATTGCTGCCTCGCTGGATTAGTCTTGCTGCAAAGCTATTGTCATCAAAGGAGGTTCCATTTACAACAGGGACATCGTCGAAAGGGTTTATGGACAGGTCAGAAGACACTTTGATATACTGAACTGCAAGCCACAGAGCTGTGCTTCCCTCATGATCCTTCAATTCTAAGTCTAATCTAACAAATAAAAAGTTAGATTTTTAGATAGCCCCTTATTTGTGCCTCTTAAAAAACCCTGTACCAAGGAACACCTTCCACTAATCTGATAAGCAAGACTCCATTAAAAAGAATCACCATTACATAGTTCTATAAACACAACTACTAAGGTCTTACTAAGACCACTATTCCTTAGATCTGTATTTATAGGCCTTTAAACCCAATGGTGAAGTTAAACCCACAAGGGAAGAAAATTCTGAGGCTGTAGTGAAGCCTGTCTTATGACCACTCTGAGATAGTCACTTAAAAAAGAGGCAGGTTTCGGTTGGAGATATAGCACTAAAGACTCTCAGTTGTAGATTCTATACACATGTACGTACACATTTTACCTAGCACATGCACAAAGGGATTGCTCTCCCTAAGGCATCTGAAGTGCCTTATTCATCTCCCAAGGAGGTTAATGGGAGTCACTCCCCGTGGAGTTGAATTGGGCCTAAGAAGGATTTCAGAGCCTGATAATTGCTCATCCATTTTGCAATTCTAGTTCAGAGTAGTACTGCTTTATTTTACCTACCCCCAAAGACATTGCTGTGCACTTCACTTCCTTGCAAACTAAGATAGCATGGGGGGGTGGGGGGGGGGGGAAGAGGGAGGGAGGGGGGGGGGGAGAGAGAGAGAGAGAGAGAGAGAGAGAGAGAGAGAGAGAGAGAGAGAGAGAGAGAGAGAGAGAGAGAGGGCTCTTTTGCTTCATCTATACCAAGCCAGAAGACCAGCTTCCTCAGCAATACAAGTTTTCATTTGAAACTATGTAATAGCTAGCTCTTACATAGCTCTTTTCATCAGTAGACCTCCATAATGCTTTCCAAAAAGGAGGTCAGTAACAATATCCCCATTTTTACAGCAGGGAAAAATGGAGGCACAGAAAAGGTGAAGTGACTTGCCCAAGGTCACCCAGCAGCAAAGCTAGAAATAGAACCAAGGTGACATAGGACACTACCTCATGCAGACTTGCACGATGTTGCATCCACAGAATCTAGTAGCTGAGGAATGCTGAGTGGCTAAGATTATTGTTTAACAAAAGAACTAGCTTACAGCTATACATTCCTCTCCACTGTATGATGTGGTTTGGAATACCCTATTCAAATAAAAAAAAAAAAAAAAAAAAAAAAAAAAAACAACACAGAGACTTACTGTTTGCGCTGGAGAAGCTGACTGAATACAGGATCATTCCTAACAACAATTGATGCATGTAATGGGGTCCTGCAGAGAGAGTCAATTACAATTAGGAAGTAGTTGCAAGCTGGTGAAAGACATTTTTCTGACATCGAGATTTCATTTCACATTCCCATACAAGTTGAGACTCAGGTCAGACTTTGAAAGTCAGTGGGCAGGTGGTGGAGGAGCAAAGGCCAAGTACAAATCGGTCTCAACAGAAAAGAGGGACACCAGAAGCCTGCTTGGATTGGTGAAGACCCAAGCAGTTTAGGTCTATGTAAATCTTAGGCAGCACCCTAAAGATTTAACTTCTCCCAATGGTAGATCACTCAGATCTAGCAGTCTTGCACATTCCACAGCCTACTACTGTTCTTCGATATGACATTTGTTACTCTACCAAGAAACAGTGATACAATGAGAGCTTCAAAGTGTTTTTGTATATGGGACTCAAAAGTGTGGCTGTGCCTAGAGTATCTAGCAAAAACTGTGTCATCTTAGCTTGCTATCCAGGGGATTCCAAAACTTTGTGTGACAACTGTTTGCTGTGTTGTCTCACCTCTTATTTCCATTGCTTAACTATATATTGCTGATCAATAAAGCGTACAATTGTTCTCCATGTATTTCACCAGCCGGTTCCCTCCCCCTCATTTCCAAGGCATTGCCTTCAGTTCAGTAATGCCCGACAGAAGAATGCCACTTACTAAAATACCACTGTCTACAAGTTAAAATGAAGGTATTTGCAGGGCTCCCATTGAAATAATCTAGCTTGATTTTTTTGGTTTGAGACATCTTTGTCTATTCCCATGACAGTACAGAGGCTTCTGAATAAGTTGCAGCACACTGATTAGATAGAAGTGGTTACCAAAGCTAGACACTGCTACCAATATATTCACCTTCCTTTGCAGTCTTGCATGTTTGGATTGGCTCCAGCCTGTAAGAGGGACTCTGCAATCTGTGCCATCTCTGACATCACATCTGGCAAGTGCTTCTTGGGGCTGTACGATGCAACAAGGTGTAGAGGAGTCTCCTGGTCTCCCAGTGTAGCAGCATTCACACGGGCACCATTTTTAATGAGAAAATTGGCAGAAAACTTGTCTCCTTTAGGGATGTGCAAAAGGAAGAGATTACACATCTGATTTTAAGATTCATTATATGCTCTACATAAGCTATTTTCAGTAGATTGCCTGCCATCCACATTAGTTCCATAGGCATCATGAAATGTATTCTTATACAAGTGTTGCTTGATATTAAGTTCCTCCCTGCTAGAAGCCAACAGCTGCAATGTACACCATAAAGCTTATGTCAGGCTGGCCCCTCCAAAAGATACATTTCCCCCTTATTAACGGGCTTCCTTAGAAAGTCAGTATTTGCTATTTAAAAGGTTTACTTAACTCTGTTTGAGCTAGAATGGAAGTACTTGGCCAAAATGTTTTAAAGCATACCAGAGTGAGTTCCTTAGTCCCTATGCCAAAACTGTTGCTTTTCAGTTAGAGAAAAGGTTCTCCCGGTTGTCCTGCTATGGGACTAGAGCCTTTATGGAGTCATAGGACAATAGCAACAGATAGGAGCTTGTTTACACAAGTTAAAGCTGGTTATATAAAGTAGTAGGAAAGTCTCATTCTAACTATTCTTAAGCTTTTCAGAGTGTAAGTCTGTATGACAGAGGCTATACCTATAGGTAATTTTGGTTCAAACTTCCCTCTAGTTCAGAAGCTATCAGCCTGGGTGACATCAACAGATGTCAGGGGTCGCAACCATCATGTTACTAAACAAGAGGGTCTGGGTATGTGGAACCAGCTTACGCCATTGCTCTAGTTATTTATTTAAAGATATTTACATTGCACTGTAGTGCCTACAGAAATCAGGGCCCTATCATGGTAGGTATTGTACATCAACATTTTAAGAGACATTTCCTGCCCCTCAAAGGCTCTAAAGTCTACCCAGACAAGCCAGAGAAGAGTCGTATTCTCCCCATTTTACAGCGAGATGAAGCAACTTTCTACAAATCAGAGACTATTTGTGGGAGACCTGGGAATTGACCCATAAATGCTAGGTCCCAGTCCAGTGCCTTAAAGCCATCCTTCCTTCCCCGGCCATGCCTGGTTAAGTACAAGAATGTACTGTACTTCCAAAGACCAATAACTTATGGAAGTGCAACCTTGGAGAATGCAGAGGAAAAAATTTTTTAAAGGCCTCCCAGTTCACAGGTAACAGTTTTGATATGGCAGTGAATCATACATTATCAGCATGCAGCTTTGTATGCTCTCTCTCGAGTTAAAGAGTCCCATTAAAAGTGTAATTTTTCAGGAATCTGAAGAACTTCCCTCAGTCAGGAGAAATTGGGCTGATCCTGGAAGTACTGTAAAGTCAGATCATTGGTTTGACTCTACAGTCTGTTCCCCCAGAATACAACGGAGATGTCAAACAGTAAACTACTTGATTGCATCTTCAAGTACCAGGATGTAGTTACCTGAAAGATTTGAAAGATCAATTTCAAAGTAACTGACAAGAAAATACAACTTAAGTAATCATGTTTAAAGGCTAAATTAAGACGTTTGACAGTGGAGAAGCCCTTGAGGGTTGCCCTTCTGCAAGGTTTCTATGGTTTTATTAAATGCAACCTTCACAAATGTAAAGCCAGTTCCTAGAAGGCTTAGCTTTGGCAGTGGGAGTCGAGTGTAATCAGCTCCCTTGCACTTGCATGCTTAGTATTTCCTAGGGTCATGCCCGCCCCCTACCCTGTACTTTACTGGTAGAGTTAGTGTGACTACCTGCAATTAACCTAAGGCTAATGAAGGAAGTTTGCTTGGCCTTTTGAGCTCCTAAACTACTTCAGATGTAAATAAGCTGTTTGTATGAATACTGACAAACGTCCCTGTGAGAAGCATTAATTTATTGTTCACCAACTGTGCACACAAGCAGCAACAGCAGCATTTTACTGCAGCCGGTCAGAGCAAAGAAATAAGTGCCTACAACAAAAGGCTAAGTAACATACAATGAGGCCACTAGGGTTTATACCAGAGACTCATGCAGCCCTATCTGGTCAGAGAAAGATGTAAGCCAAGAAGGTGTTTCTCAGTTCTTAAGCCTCCTGAGCATTACTGCCATGGCAACCATTTCCTATTGGGTTCTGTGAATCCTCACATGTATCTGCTTTCCTTCTCTTGTGTTGATAGCAGCTCAAGAGTTTCCAAGTACAGTCACTGACTTAAGTACCAATGAGGTTTTATTGCCCACTGGAACTTGGAGAAAAAAAAGTCAGTCACCTACACAGACATCTACCTACTATTGACTGTCATGAAAGACTAGGGTCCTCCTCCAACCAGCTGATAGGGAGGACTACTGTCTGCAGGAAGGGTGAGAAACTACTCTCCCTATTAACTAACTCACTACTGTACAAATAGCTACTACACTCCTTGCAACCCTGAAGGAAAAAAAGAGGGAAGAGAAATTCTCTCTGCTCACCATCTCCTAGATATCTGTATGAGCTACTGAGATTTTAGCCAGTCTAAACGACTTATTAGGCACGGAGTATCACTCCTCCATTAAATGGAACTAGGATTTAAACATCCATGTTCTGAATTCTTCCCCCCCCCCCCCAAATTTTATTCACCTTGGACTAGGACAACACTGACGTAGTTCATGAGAGAAACTAGCAGTTTCATTTCAGTTGCCAACCCAGCAAGCTAGCATTTACTTCCAAAAAGAATCCTTTTCATGAAGCTTAACGCCGTCATTTCTATTCATGTTAATATATTTATATAAACCTAAACCTGGGGCTTCAACAGTCTCCTTTTGTGAAGGAATGTTTGAAACTAAAATTGAGTCATTGGCAGAAGATATGAAGAGATGCATAAAAACCAGTCTCAATTAGGATATACTTCCTACTGGATAAAAGTTGCAAAAGCAAGTTATCCTATCTTGTAATGGTAACTTTTGTATTCAATATCCTTACCTCTTTGGATGGCTTTGTGTAACAGACTCCAGCCTTTGTTGTCCACCATATCCACATCAGCTTTGTAATTGACCAATGTTGTTGCAATACTTTCCAATCTTCGAGAGAGGGCTAAATCTAAAGCAAGGTCTCCATTGTGATCCAGTTCATTGAGTTTCCCAGGCAGCTATCAAAAAACAAACAAAACAAAACAAAAAAAACCCACCACAATTTAGTGGGCTGACATTAAATATATGCAAGGGAGCACTCAACCAATATGCAACTTTAAGTTTTATATTGGTTAACTATGACCTACTGTTAAGGGAAAGTTTCAATGCTAGTACTATAGCTAATTAAATCTCTTTAGAGACTTGTCTTACATACACAGAGTAAACAAAGGGACTATATCTTGAGACTGAATTAAAGTACATCCGAGAGCAAGTTCTCTAATTGGAAAGCTGATCCTGAAGTTTGTTTTGAAACAATTAATTAGTTGGGAAATTTGGTCTTCAATGTTTATGAGAAGGCAGAATCTGTCCATCAGGGATTCTCTACTGTCAGAGTTGTGTAAGTGGAGATACTGAAATAGATTTTCAACAGCTCTCAAGTCATACATTTATATTGAATCTGAATCAGATAAGGAAACTAATGTTTTTTGTGACTTCAAAAGAGACTTAGCAGTATGTTATTTCTTCAGATGTAGTTGTTTCAAAGAAAGTGGCAAATATACACAATAGAAAGGAACTAAGCATTTAACCATATTAACTAAAAAAGTGACATTACCACCATAGTCCTAATGGCAAGAAAAATACAAGTTATATTACTGTGTAAAGGATATTAAAGCTACTCGTTTTATCCATGAATGTAATTTCAACAACTGTAGCTGAAATGCTTGAATCATCATACCAGACAAGCCATACTCCATCCTCATTCCTATTAATACATGGTATTTTTATACAGCACTTTGCAAACATTAACTAGTGAATTCAGTACATTTTGAGATAGGTAGCTAAACATTATGTGCTTTCTAAACAAAGTCTCAATGTTTTTTCTTTAACTTCTATGATTTCCTTCACAGTATGTCACTCTCCAGCCCTACATTTGTCAGCCTGAGTAAGTCAAATTGACTGTTAAAGTGCCCAAGCACATACCTAGCATCAAAGTAAAGAAAAATGTGTCTAGTTCACTCCATTTCAAACAGATACAGTAAAGCTCATCATACCTGTGAATCCATTTCAATAAGATACAGGAAAACAACATCTTCTCTCTCCACTTTAATAGCTTTATGTAAAGGATATTCAGTCTTGGATTTGAACATTTTATACAACAGCTGAGCACTCATACTGCTGAAGTCTTCTTTCCGCAAGTCATCCTGTGAGTAACAAGAAGAAATCAAAGTGAAATTGGCTTGTTTCCATATAGATACTTGTACTTTTTGTTCAGATTAAATGGAGTTTTGGTTGTTTGCCCTTCAGCGAAGTAATGTTGCAGTATGGAACACTGAAGATAATGGATTCAAAGGCTCCATTTGGCTCTGCTTTGGAGAGGTGTGTGACATGTACAAAGAGCCCACAGGAACTGTCCTAGCAGATTTCTGCCATCCAGTGGTAATCCAACAAGTCTGGGAAGAGATAGTTGTGAATATTCTCATTTTACATCTACCTACTTTAAAATTTCAACTATTAGTTCTAATAGAAGTTGCTTAAATTCCCATATTTACAAAAGGCACCCCAAAAATGCATTTTTACATCCTCCTCCTGAGGAGAGATAAAGGGCACTTCATAAAAAAGGACAAAGATATTACAGATTGAACTAGTAAGAGTTCCATAGTTGTTACTAGAGACCGTCCTCCAAAAAGTTGGACTGCTTAAAACAGTCTTTGCACACCTATCTAGTATAACACAACTTGATACTTGACACTTCCCATCAACTCCCACAATTGTAGAAGCAAGGAGTGTTTTAAAGAAGATACAGAAAAGGAGCTATATTTATTTAATATTTGGAGAAAATGTATTCCCTGAAATCTAAATACTGAAATACCAGAAGGGTCTTTCTAGTAACTGGGACTATTCTAGACAGGTCCATTTGGCCAATGAAGAATGATGGTTTTCATGGAGAGGTTTGGATCTTGTCCTCAGGATTTATGAGGAGGTCTATTTACTTGAAAGCAGAGGTGAACAGTTCACTTTTGCAAAGTAATAGTGAGCTGCCCGGTGTGTTCTAGGATGAATGAAGTGCCACTCTGAAGTTCAGATGATAGTAGGGTATCAAGAGTTCCTCTTTACTGTTTCTAGCCCATAAATGCTACCAACAGCTGCACTGCGTGGTTAAATACAAAAGCCTTCAGCCTCTAAGGTAGTGAAGATGAGCCTCTGCCAAAAATACAGTCACCATTGATGGTATTTTTGGACAGAAGATAAAATCCTGATAAATCTGATTTCCAGAAGTTACAGTAATCTTCAGTGTAAGTCTTATAAATCCATAACATAGGAGCCTGCTGTTACAGAAAAGACAGACTTCGTTATGAACAATCCTTTATCACTTGGTTAGACAAACTTTCATAACCTCCCCTTGGAGAAAAAAAGGTTTGTATATCAAAAACGCAAGATTTCCTATTACTCCTGTGCTGGAAAAGGAATTGGAAGCTAAGTATGTAGCTTTTCATGGTTTGGCTACTACTTCTGATGGCAATTTTAAGAGGGGAAATTTGTTTGTGTAAAGGCAAGAATCCCAAATTGTCCACAGTCCAGTGATGGACAAACTTCAGACAGTTCAAAATTAGCTATACTGATAGCTGTCTGAACTAGTGGGACCCATTAAACTTGGCTGAAAACTGAAATGGCTTTCCAGCAAGATTCAGTAGCTAACGTCTTGCCATATTTCCATTTCTACTAAATCAGTTTCAGTGTTTTGGTACTTTGATCCCAGAAGGAAACAGACAGGAAGATGAAAAATTGAAAGAATGGTTTGGGTTGCTTTCTACAAATGGGCAAGCTTTCAGGGAAGAGGTTGGGTTGAAAAACAGACACGAAGAAGGTCCCATCTCCTCTCTTCCCCTTCTCCCCCCCCCCAAAGGATGCCTGTTCCAGGAAGGCACTGGATGTGATGGAACAGGCACTCTCTTCTGGGACAGAAAAGCAAGTCTTAAAACAGTGTGGGTTTAGATCCATTAACACACAATATTAGCATTTAATGTGATTCTGAAGTTTGAAAGTGCTACGTATCAATACAATCCAACACTAAATCTAAAGTTTAAATCTTTTCAAAGTTTCAGCCTGCAGGCTACTCTTTTCCATGCCCCTTCTATTACAGTACTTACCCAATGACTAGCTATTATTTCAGCACAGTAGTTCAATAAAGTGCTAGCATTTAGCTCCTCCGCAGTCTGATAGAAACGAATGCAGTTCCTGACGTTTACTAGTGACATGACTCCTTTTTCACACCTGCCAGAATGAAGAAATGGAGTTTGGATCAGTTTTTAGGAAAGAAAGGTCAGATTCCCATTTCCAATAAAAGCTGGTCATTCAAATACAGAAACATCTGAATGCTAACAGTGGTGAAGCAATGTCATGTTCACCAATACTATACAAGTGCTTATTATTTATACAACTGCCTCCTTAGAAAAGCTTCAACAGAAATGGCTTTATAAAACTGACCAACCTAAAGACTCCTGTAATAGTGTATTTCACACCACTCTGGAGAGAGCAGCACATTAAAGAGTTCCCTCCAAAATAAGGGAAGACACCCTAATCTTCCCACTGAAGTAGGCTGAAATACATTTGCCACTGTAAGGACAATAGTTGCAACAGTCTCACATCACCAAGTTTTTGTGGGCTAAAACCCTCAAATAAATTTGTTAGTCTCTAAGGTGCCACAAGTACTCATTCTTTTTGCCGATACAGACTAACACTCTGAAACCTATCACCAAGTTTGACACCCAGTGGAGCTGGTTCAGCTTTCATGCTTAAGAATGAACGAACACTGTAAAAGGTACTCTAAAATGCAGATGCGTGTGGAAAACAGGAAAGTGAAGACTTTCATCCTTGGGGAGCAATCATTCCTGTCACACTCTTTGGGTGTATGAGAACATTCATTTTTGCTAAGCCTACAAATTTACAAAATAGCATGTTGTACAAGTCAAGGAGACTGAAAGTAGCTTTCATATGGTCAAGGGATCTAGTTATTTTGGACACACCACTAATGGTTATCAGCATACTTGTATAATTATACCATTGCCTCCCATCAATTACCGGAAGCTTAACTAGCAAAATGGAGAAGTACAGTAGAAGACCAGAAAGTACCTGCATTTCTGCTAAAGGCTGTAGTAAGACACTGGATAATAATCGTTAGAATACTGGATTTTTTAGTACTATGAAAAAGAAATCTACAATAAAGGATTACAAGCCAAAATTAGACATTGTTAGGCATAATGAAGAAAAAAGTGCCAAAATGAGGTTAAGTGCTAGACTTAAGGCACCCCTCAAAAAGGCAATGGAAGATCACTAGGTACAAAACAGCAGTTTGTGAACTGACAAGATATATGACTTGGAAGTTAGATCAGGGAAGTTTGTTCCTGTGGATTGAGACTGATCTGTTTTCCAGGCAAGTGTTCACACTATGCTAAGAGCCCTACTTAATGCTGCCAACAACTGCTGGCAGGTAAAAAAAAAAAAGGAAGAAATTGAGAGGCCATTTGAGCAATAACTGACAGAAGCCTAAAGTAAGAGGATGCTTTATTTACGGACTTTTAGAGTCATTTCATCTCGCCCCCCTTTGGAAGCGTGGGTGAGGAACAACATTAATCCTTGTGGTCATTTTGCCCTGCCTCCCTCTTACTCTACATCCTCCCCAAGCATGTCATTTAGCAATATTCGTTTTAGTTTTAAAAATCTGAAGCGATTTATAATTAAGAGGATGGCCAAACTTTGGCATTTAAAGTAGCCAATATGTTAAAGATATATTGCTACTACGGATAAGGTTGCATTTTCATTTTAACCAGTCACTGAACAGTGAGGAAAAAAAAGCTGAAGAGTGAAGCTTTTATTTCTAGTAATTCAAAAGCCATTTCTTGTCAATACTATAACAGATTTGCTTTGTTATAGAAAAAAAGTTTCAGGAAAGGAAACTAACTCAAAGGTACCACTCACTCGGGTTTTCTAGTCATGTCACAGCGGGGCATGGGTTTATGAGTAATTGGTGAGTTGTGGGATATACAGGATTAAAGAGTGAACTACACAAGAGAGTGGCTTGTGCAACAGTGCAAGGACAAAGCTTGATTTTTCTGCTTATGATGAGCTGAAATTCTTGTTCTAGAATTAAAAATCAAATAAGTTTTAAAATAGTATCTTCCATCTTCAACTCAAACCCATGAGTTAATATGTGCTAACAATAGGATGCAACGTAACAGCTATTTACATTAGCACAAATAGCCGGGCTCTTGGAAATCTGCTAATTAGGGCCCAGCCACAACATTCTAGAAGCTTGAATATAGTCACTGCAACTTGCCTTTCCCTGAGGAGTTGTAGTTGAAACCGATTAGCTAATTTCATCAGTTCTGTCAAGAATACATCATCTTCTCTCAGTTCTAGCTCATCTGTGTAGATCCAACGCAGCATTGCCATGGTCACCTCAGGGTCAGCATCTGGTGAAAAAAGTGACAAGGTGAAAAATCAAGCTACTTAAGTCTCAAATATTTGCAGTTCAATTGAAATAGCTGTAATTTTACCAACCAAATCAAGTGTTTCTAAAATGACACAGACATCTATCTTAGACCGCCAACTAAGCAGGGAAAAGGCAGGTCAGTTACATGGGGGATGCTCCTTCCGGACCTTGCTGTCCATTACCCACTGTTAAGATGAACATACAGGGCCTGAAATTCACACTAAGTATACCAAAACCCAGTTACCTCCCACCCCCCCAAAATGAGTAGTTTTGCAGACTGGGCTTTATGGCCCAGCACAAAATAGTGTAATGTAATATATGGAGATATACCTCTCTCTCAGAACTGGAAGGGACCCTGAAAGGTCATTGAGTCCAGCCCCCTGCCTTCACTAGCAGGACCAAGTACAGATTTTGACCCAGATCCTTAAGTGGCCCCCTTAAGGATTGAACTCACAACCCTCGGTTTAGCAGGCCAATGCTCAAACCACTGAGCTATCCCTCCCCCCCATACATACTGGATAAGTGGGGACTTCACATTAACACCGTAAGATCTTTGTGCAACTTACTGTTCTCCTAAGAATGCCACCAAGTGTACTAAAACAAAGAAAATTGTAGTTGGAATGAAGGAGTCGAATGGTTAAATCTGATTCAATTCTGGTTGGAATCAATTTATCTCTGCAGTTTGGTTCCAGTTCAAACACTAACCTAAAATGATGGTTCAGTAGCCAAACAAACTACTTTGAACCTGTTTGAACCAGTTCAGATGTTTCCTGTAGGTTAATGTCTCACACTTATGCTTGTACTGTAACTCCTAGCAAAAGAATGCAATGAAATATTTTTCCACTGTAGAAAATTTTTTAAACACGTTATTTGCACTCACTAGTACAACATCCTCCAGACCTCTGTCAGTCATATTTGACTGTAAAGGTGACAGAAGCTGGGACTAAGCGACAGGGAATGGATCACTGGATGATTGATGATGACCAAAGAAAACCCATGGTGCTGTAAGCAGTGTTCTTGCAAGTCAGAAGGTGGCACACTTCCTTCCTTAGTACTGACCCAACTCAATGTTATGCGACACTCTTGCTGGAAGTTACCATATTAAGACAGTGGTTGACCTCACTGCACATGAGAGCCAACATCTCTTCTCTAAAAGGGGATATTAGCCCTGACGTCCTAGTCAAATTCCAACATGGAAAATTACTTTCTGCCAATTTCACTTGTATAAGTTACTCTTCCTGCCCTGTACTGTGCTATAGTGTTGCTGCATGCTATTAATAGCTGCTTATTACCACCCAAGGGTGGCTCCAGCTATTCTTATACCTAGTTTGCAATGCTGTTTGGGATCCTTCCATAGGAAAGGTGATCGAGAAAGGCAAGATATTTTAAGTTAACTTCAAATGGTTAGATTAGCAGAAGACATTTGATTTACATTTCTTAACTCTGCAGGACTCTTACAGTTCCTATACTCCAGTATAGGAAACCCATTGTCACAAGAGGACAGAGGTATCAATTCTTGTAACTCTGCAAATTGCTACCTATTCTAAAGAGTTTAAACCTAGTTTAGACAGCTCCATATTAAACTTGCTCCTGATAACAAGACATTAATACAGGTGTACACAGGAGCTTGATGCCCTCATAATTGGAGCAATAAAATAAAGATACTATTAGTAATACTCCATCAACTGAGTTGCTTTTTAAAAAAAAAAAAAAAAAAAAAACTAATAAAGTACTTGTGTTGAATAAGCAAATGTTTTAAAATCAGGTTTGTTGGACAGAAGCAGGGGAATCCCAGATACTTCGCTTCTACACACGGTTAGGATGTTTTAAATAGATGTATCCTGTAGACTCAAGAAGTATTTACAGGCCATGCATTAACTATTCTTCCAGATACCACCTGGTACAGGACTCCCTAAGCAACAGCACCCTGTGCCAGCACAGTAAGGTAAACATCTCAAGCAGAACAG